GATGGAAAACCTGGGTTCTTCCTGGGGAAAAGCCTGTGGGGAAATGAGAGCCAGAAAATGAAAATAAAATGACAAAAGGACAGTCTGCACTGAGGTCATGTGGTCAGAGTTGTGGTGCCTTAGCCTGGAAAGGGAGATGACAGTGCTTGGTTTGCTAAGTTTTTCTAAGTAGGCACAGGGTGGGCACAAGGAAGATGTTGACCAACAGTTCTAAGTTTTCTGATGATAAAACCGGGAGCAGGGGAGGGGACTTCACCGAGAATAGAACAAATTCAGAAAGGCTGAAAAAAGAACTGAATTTCCGATGGCTGAAGGCTACAACCATTGTCAGGGAGGCTGTGAGCCCTCTGCCCACAGACTTTAAGCTGCACATGTGCCTGAAGTGTGGGGTTAGGAACACATCATCAAATTGAGCCCAAATCATTCTAAGCCCTTTTGCTCCTTGCTGCTTGTACTCTGTCAGAGGCTGGTGACATCAGGTCACCTGGGGCTGTTAGAAAGGCAGAACTTTGGGCCCCACATCAGACCCTCTGAGTCAGAATCTGCATCCCTCACAGGATCCTTGGCAAAGTGGCTACTTCCTTCTTTGGAGGAAATGCAGTACCGTACAATCATACACAGGACTTCAAGTTCTTAAAATCGTTGTGGAAAGCTTTTATCACAGCGTGGCTGACAGGGAGAGAGTTGTCTGGTGATCACATCTTCTCTCTGTTCTTCAAATGTCATTAGTTAATTGCCCTATTGAACATTTTCAAAGACACCCATTGAAAGTGGTTTTTATAAACATTAGAAAATCAGATTTATAAAGTTCTTGCAGAGGCAAATAAACTAATTTTCAAAACTGGCCTCTTACAGCTAATTCTTGCATAAATATTATGACAAGTGTAAAATCAGTAATGGCATGTGCAAGAAAACAGCAGGAGGTCTGAAATCCAGTGACTGATTCAGATGTGGCCTCGGTAGAAGCATCAGTGCACGAGAAGCCAGGGGCGGGATTCGGGTCTGGACCCCTGGTGCCAGCTGGCTGCATGCCACTCATCCTTCCCTGCCTTGGTTTCCTCGTCTGGGGAATGAAGAGGAGCTGAGATGGCTTCCAGGGCTCCTGCATCTTTACTGGTCTAAGGTCCTATTCCAGGGCTCTCAACAAGAGCACAGGAAACCTAATTTCTCTGAATTCATTGCATTTAGCCCTCCCATTGTTTAGATCAGGGGTCCTCAAACTACGGCCCGCGGGCCACATGAGGCCCGCCAAAAACATTTATCCGGCCTGCCGGGTGTTTTTGCCGCCGCTGTGTGCACAGGAATTTGTTCATAGTTTTTTTTTAAACTATAGTCCGGCCCTCCAACGGTCTGAGGGACAGTGAACTGGCCCCCTGTTTAAAAAGTTTGAGGACCCCTGGTTTAGATGAACAACCAATGAGAGGGCCAAATTGCTGGAACCCAGTGTCTACATATCAAACGATGGAAACACCTCCACTGGGAGCAGGCAGGTGTGGGCATGAGAGGCCAGCAGGGTGAGCGGCTCAGACTCCCTGTAAACAGCTGGCCGCTCAGCCCAGCTGCTCACAGATCAGAGAAGTGCAGGCTGCTTGCCCACGTGCAATTACGTGTGAAGTATGGCAAATCTAAAAATAGCCCGAGCTCAGCCATGGGGGTTATACCGCACTGTCAATGGCTTTCAACTGTCAGGATGACAAGAAGGGGAGTAACTATAGCAACAGAAAAATGAACACATAAAGAAAGTCTTCTGAAGTTGTCAGGAAAAGTTTAGATTTCATAAAACACTTATTTTTAATTCCTGCCTCTAAATCTTTGAATTCAAATAGTTCAATTCTGTGGCGGTAATAAAATTAGAATTAAAACAAATACTCTTTCAGTTTTGGGTTCCAGATTCACAAGGAAATGCTGCCAACCTGTCAATTTTATTGCCTCTGTAATTAAAGGACAATCTGAACAAATGCCTTTATATAACTTTTAACGAGAGGCTTCTCTCTATATTTGTTCTATCAGCTATAATAACAGCCTTAAGCCATAGCTGACATTTGAAGATATTACTGCATGTTCGATGAAAACATAGGGTGACACAGAACTCCCTTGAAATGAAGGGAACTCGGTGCAGACCATCATCGTTAGATGAAGTTCCTGAGGCGGTGCTCACAGCTTCACTGCGGCCCCGCACGTCTGGACCATGTCAATGCGTGCACATCCATCATTCAGTTCCGAGAAAGCATTCTCATCACAGAGCTCACACACACAATCTCAGAATCAGCACATCCACAATCCCGCCCTCTTTCCGCACCGTTTGAAAAGCAGTATTCAGTTAGGTGCTGGGCAATGTGCCACTGGCCCCAGCTCTTCCATAAACTGGACAGTCACTCAGCTCTCTGGTTACGGGCTGGATGGGTCTCACAGGGTCTTCCCTGAGCAGGAGCGGTTAAGAGTTAAGGGGAACAAGGAGAGGATTTGTGTTGATACCCACTCTGGGCCATGCCTTGTGCTAAACTTTAAAAATGTTATCTTGGCAGCAAACTGGCAAGATACATACCTTTATCTCCATTTTATATAAGAGCATACAATCGCAACCTGGCCGAGCTGAGAAGGGACAGAGCCTGTATAACTGGTGTCTGTCTGATGCCAGGAGGCCGTCTCTGCTTCTCAGATACACTCAGCTGCTCTGACAGCTGCCTCTTGCCGCAGTACAAAGACTGACCTCCCCCGCCAGGTGCTAGTTACACGCACTTAAACTGTCTACAGATTTGCAGTGACGGCCTTGCATTTTCTGAGCATAGAAGATTGTCTCTTAGAAAGTCCCTCTATAATCTTCCCTCACCCAGGCAACCACTGTTACCAGTTATTTTCACATCAAATACACACTAGTCTGCCACCTGGCCTCTTCACTTAATAATATATCATGAACATTTCCTTATGTTAATAAATAAAATTTATTAGAATTTTTAATTTTTATAAAGATTGCACATCTAAATTACTATACTCAGTCACTTTCTAATGGATATTTCAGTTGTTCCAATTTTAGAATACTTTGATAATCAGGAAAAATAGAAAACATTATATGGAAAAAACACTAGGGTGTTAAAGTCATTTTTAAAGTAAGTATAATAAGGCGAGTAAATCAAGAGCTTTGCCTTAATTAATGATATTTTCCTAAAATTTCTGCTTAGAATCAAAATTGCCTACAACACAGAAATGCTCTCTAATAAACCAATGTTACAACATGCAGATGAAGGAAATGTATCTGTGGGCCCTGGGGCCAGAAATTCTTTGCAGCATCCCAGAAACCCCCTTTAAAAGCATGGCCAGGACATTTATATGGTGAACAGAAGTCACGCTGTGTGCAGGACTCCGGCTGAAAGTGAAACACAAAAACAAATCTAGTTTTGTGGTTAGTTGAAAACTCACAGCTGGTATGGGCTTTCCTTTAATTAGAGTGTTTCCCCCTCCCATGGAAAATTCTGAGGCTTAAGTCAAGCTGCTTTAATAGCTGCTACGTGGACCAAACAGCTTGGAAATTTCCTAGCGGGATTTTCTAGAGTTTTAGTAAATCTTTCTCTCAGTTACTCTTTGTTCTTCTCCTTTGGTCAAAAGCAAAATCAAGTAGTGAAAAGGTCACCATGTAGCCAGAGAAGCAAAAAAAACCCACAAAGCAACAACAACAACACATGTGTACATACACACATATGCACACACTTTAGAATTAAGATGAATTAATTAGCTAAAATTAGTTACATAATACATATCAGTCATTTATATACAAACTATCTCTTCATAACTTCTTTAGAATACATTTTAAAGTGTGATGCTATGATATTCACGTAAACTTAGTTCTATATAAAAATGGTCATAAAGAAACACATGAATAAACAGAGTTTTGAAGGGGTGGGATCAAATGTGACTAGGTTTCTCCAGCTGTTTCCTCCTCTTGAGCCCTTTCTCTGAACGAGTGGTCAGATACTGATAGGCAGCCAGCCACCTAAATCAGCAGCTCTCCAAATCCCTAAGATTACGTGCCAGAGGCAAGGATGGTTCAGACAAAGCCCAAATGACAGCCCTTCTGGCCACATGCAATGGACTCGTGACCTAATAGGCTGAGAGACCAGTGGAGTCTGAGGTAGAGAGTCTACCCTCAATGATGGCCCCAGGGTTGGAGGGAAGGAGTCTCAAAGGTGGGATGCATCCTGATTCCTGACAATACTGGGTGTTGCCATTCTCCATACTCACAGAGCAACACACAGGCCACTCCCATTAGAGTACATGTCTCATTTTCCTAATTTGTTCCCAAACTACAGATGCTAGACACTGCAGAGTGGAGAAAGAATGTCCATTAAGTGGGCTGAAAAAAGCATTATAAAAGCTTTTGCAAGCAACGTAGAGTTGCTCATGTTAATACCTACATGAGACCATACAGAACACAGAACTCTACAAATGGAGACAGAGTAGTGGCCAAAGGCTTTCTGATGTGACATGCATATGACTCATGTGTAGACTAGGACATTTCTTAGACTCTAAGCACAGTCAGAGTTAGAAAAGGTCATGTGGTCCTAACATGTATTTCAGGCAGGTGGTTAAAACACGTATTTTAAAAAATAAAGAAGCATTGTCCAAACAATCACATTAGTGATTACAGCCAGGTTGGCACAAAAAAACCTGACTATTTGATCTTGAAAGCGCAACATTTTATTTTGGCTTGAGGTGGACAGATACTTACAAAGGGCAGTATAGCAGTGAAGAGTTGAAAACTACAGTCAGCCTGTTTGATTTTGAATTTCTACTCCACTAACTAGTGATATAAGCTTGGGAAATGTTATTAATCTCTCTGTACTTCAGTTTCCTCATCTGTATAATGGGGATATTAACAGTGTATCTACCATAGGCTGGTGTGAGGATTATATGAGATAATTCATGTGAAGAGCTTAACAAAGGGCCTAGTAGTGGCTCTGTTGTTAGGACAATCACCGTTCCCAGGGCCAAAGTAGTTCACTCACCAAGATGAGTGTCCATCACCTTCGCACAGTATTTGCACATGGCATCCAGGTCATTCAACTGTCCTTGAAGGAAGGAAATTTGGGCTTCTAATTCTTCTTCCTAAAATGAAGCAAGTAAAGATATGGAAAAATTTAAAAAATCAAATAAAATCCTCAAAGTTCTCCAATGATCTGGACTATTTTAAAGAAGTACAATGTCTTTTCAGTCCGAGATAAGGCATAACAAAATAGCAAATAAACACGAGCAAACCCACTACTGCCACTACCAGTAAGATGGAGAAAGGGTAAAACAGGGGCTGAAAAAACCTGGACTTTTCCTAATTGAATGCTAGCTTTGTGCCATGCGTCAATGTTTACCCCTACAAAAAAAGTACATAAAGTATCTTCTATAACTACCGAGTCCCACAAATCGGGAGAGTAAATTGGATTTCAGTGAGCCATACTCCCCAGGCAGCTGGTACAAAAAAATTACATTTTCTCTCACACACATTTGGGAAACTGAAGATTTCCATTTATATAAGACAAATCTCATCACTTTCCAGACAATGATAATCTCTTAAAAAGTGAGATTTCCCCAAAGCACTTGGAAAAGTTTTGTCCCTGCAGCCCATAAATAGCTGCTCTTACATTTCCTCTCTTGATATGACACTGGAGCATTTTATTTATTTGATTGTTTCTAGGAAAAATACTCTGGGTTGAGTAATTATCTAAATGGTAAAAGACAATCTAACTGTAACAAAAGGAAAAGTCTGTTGCTTTTTTTTTTTTTTTTAAAGAAAAATGATACACGTAAAAAATTTCCCCAGGATATTTAGAAGATTAAGGGAGTTTTTCTCAGAGAAAGAGAATTATCCTCATTAGGTAGGAAACTTTAAACCAAGTGAGCTAGAATACAAAGAAAATATTTTGCTGGAGCTGGAACAGGCTAGAAAATTGATTTTTCAGTTTTAGATGCTTGTCCTTTCACATAAAAATCCTGTGTCATTAAGAGGAAGGAAAGAGAAACCTACTGAGCTTTGCTTTCCTTAGAGACCGAGTATAATTTGACTTATAGATGGAAATTAACAGTTGAAAGGTTACTTGTAGGTGTATTCCATTTTAGCAACACACATATACAGCACTGAAAAGTACTGTTTCTAACTGCTGACTGGAGACTAGCCCTTAGGAATATGCATTTGAAAGCTTGACACAGAAAATAAAGCAGTAGTTTTAAATACAAATTATTGAGAAGAGTCCACTGTAGAATAACACCAGCACTAACCATATTCTTTACAAATCCCACCAAGTAAAGACAAATGCCACCAGAAGAAGCTCAGCCAAGGGATGATGACAGGGGCCTGTGGGAAGGTGGTGCCACCTTCCCGACTCTTCGGCTGGGCTTTAAGGTGGAAAAGGATGAGTGTTTCAGGGTATTGTTCTTTTTCTCCCTTTGTTTTGGCTGAGTTTCCCTGTTCTATCAGGACACTGCAGGAGAAAGAACACTGAGTGTTGGTTAATGACAGTTGTGGTTAGTTCCCAAAGATGGCCACCATCTAGTCCTTCCCTCATTGTACACCCTGTTCCCTCTCCTTGAACCTGGCTGACCTTGTAACTTGCCTTAATCCAGAGAACACAGCAGAGGTCAAACCGGGCCAGTTTGGCACTAGTGTAAGAGGCCTGCTGACTTCTGCTCTCACTGGAAGAAGATAGCTACCATGCTGTAAGGAAGTTCAGGCTAGAATACTGAGACAGGAGAAGAAATGTGGAGAGAAAGAGGCCACAAGAGAAGCTCTGAGTTCTAGACATGGGGATGAAGCCTTACTGGACCTTTCTGCTCAACCCATGTGAAGTCAGCCAATGAGTGACTCAGTCAACGCAGTCAACATCCTGTGGAACAGAACAGCCCACCCGAGCCTTATCCAAATGCTTGACCCATCAACCCAGGAGAAACAGTAGTGCAGCTGTTTGAGGACTGGACTTCTGGAGTGGTTTGTTGTCCAGCAACAGGTAACTGAGACAGTGGTAGCATAGAAAGAACACTAGGTGGGTATATGGCCTTAGGAAATTTCTGACCCTTCCATTTACAAGTCATGCAACTTTAAATAATCCTCTACCCAACCAGGGCCTAACTTCAGCCCTCTCTGGAGGAGGTACAAGTCTGACACTATGCTCTCAGGGAGCTTACAAGTGTGTAGTTGGAATAAGAAAGACACATAAATTACTAGAGTATGAGGTAGAGTACGTGAAAAAATTGTAATTAAATAGAAATAACGGCTGTGGGAAGCCCGGTCCCTGCTTCCTGTCCCTTCTATTGAACAAGTCACCTTTTCAATGTGTTACCGACACAAACCCAACCGGATGAGTCTAGAACTGTATTGAGGTGAGAGCTGGGCAGTCTGTTACAAGAAGGGGGCTGGCTGTGACCTGAGTTTTCCTCACATGTGACCACTGAGTGGGGGGCTGACAGCTCAGAGTGGGCAAAGGGCACCAGGCATACATTGCCTCCTGGCTTTAAAACATCTTCTCTCTTGTGTTAGTTTAACTTACTAGTAAATTAATCAATCATTCGTTAAAAACACAAAAGCCTTTGGCAACTTGAATCTCCAGCAGACATTCCTACCTAAATGGATTTATTTTACCCTTTATTTTCATTATAAAAGTTGGGAGAGAAGAAGCCAGAGGAGACATTTTAGAGCGGACAGGCCAGGGCTGTGGGTGTGAGGCAGTGGACAGCTGGAGGGAAGTATGTAGCTCCAAGGGGCTCTCTTCCTCAAAACACCTAACTGAACATTATTGTAATACAAGTGTGATGGGGCTGTTGCCCTGTGAACTGTGCAGTGCACAATCTGCACAAGTGTATGCGGAAGCCAGAGAGCACGGCAGCCCACAGCACACTGTGTGAGCGTGTGGAAGTATGAAAACACAGTTTCTACATCTGCACATGCTGCTTAGGGCTCTGGTGGCAATGAAGAGCATCCTGCTGGCCTAAATCCCAAGCCAACTTCAGTGCAAATGGAATCTGTACTGTAGAAAATGGCAACTTTTATTCATTCAAACCTTTTTTTCAAAGGAAAGCTCATTCAAAGACCCAGTATATGAGATAAGAAGAGCATTCTGGTTGAAAGAGGTTGAGGGGTCCAGGATCATCTTCTATTTGGAAATTAGAAATCAGTGTCTTATTCCTCTAAGTTTGCCTCATCTAAAACATTCCTAAACCCTCAACTATCACTCAGAATTTATAAATAGGAATGAAATCACTTGGAGGCAAAAAGGTGACTTGTCATTTGTTCTTCACTATATAATTACAGATAAAAGAAAGAGCCAAGAATCAGGCTTCTAAAATTGTGGAACTGATTTCATGCTGCTCTCTTAGCTTCTCATGCTCTACTCTCCTCCCAACTAATATGCTTTAAACACTGGCAGCTCCAGTCACTTGTTTTCAGTAAACTGGTCCTCTGTGATAAAAAACAAGTGCTGGGCTAACTGCCTTGTGGTTTTATGAAAACAGTAGTGTAATTTTTAGGTATAAACAAGACACTAAGAAAAATCTTTAATATATAGCAGGTCCTCGCATAACATCTTTTCACTCAATGTCATTTTGTTATAAAGTTGATGAGATGCCATAGGAACTAGATTAACTCTTGTTTTTATCAATTGGCCTATAGTACAATTGGCTTTGTTGTACGTCGTTTCACATAAAGTCACAGAACCTATCGATGATGCCAAGTGAGGACTTACAGATTTACCTCTGCACATATGTTTCTCTTGCCTGCCACTACAGAAGGGAGGATGAGTGCCACTCCATTGGAAGAGAAAAAAACCTAGCATCTAACCTTTCTATAGTGATTGCAATATTGCAGACACTAAACTTTGCATGCATTAACTCATTTACTCCTCACCACAAACTTATAAGGTGGATTCTCTCATTCTCTCCTACATGAAACATGGTCTCTTCCTTTGTAAACACATTCTTGGAAGTATATGCAAGGTTTAGACAGCTAATTGAGAACCCAAGTCCCTGGCTTACTACTCCCACTGAATAATCTCATATCTCAGTTTCCTTTAAAAGAGATTCAGCAATTACCATCTTAAGTCCTAACCCCAAAATTACTTACTAAATTGTTTTCCTTCCAAAAAATTAGGCCTAATTGGTTGTGTTCTGTTTTGTTGTTTGCTGAAAGATTTTCGTTTTCACTGTATCTGAAGAAATGATTATTTAGAATTTGCTTTTTCAAAGTGGTGTTTCCATTCACCCAAATAGCTTATGTGCTGTTATACTTCTACTCAAATATTTTATATCTCAGTTTTTTAATTCTTTTATAATATATGAATTTTATATATCAATTTTGTTAAATGATTTTATGTTTTTCTACTACTGTATATAATAGGACAAGCTTTTGTAGTTTATTATTTATTCACTTATTCATTACTTTACTCAATGAATACATTTGTGTTAGGCCTTGTGGAAAATACAGTAACAAATGAGACATGAATTCTGGCCTCTGACTTTAGAAGGGTAAGACCTAAGACTTGTACATAATAAAAGACGAGTAAGGAACCTGCATAATAGCAGATGCCTTCCAATATATAGAGATAGAAATGAAAGCAGATTTTCTGGAAGAGGCAGCATTATTAATGGGTCTTAAAGATGAAGGGGACGTGGCCCAGAAGAAATGATGGATAAAGATGTTTTAGGAGGCAAGGACCCAGTAAACAAAGGAGTCAGAAAAGTGTGGGACCTGCGCAGAGCCAGAGCTTGGAGAAGAGCAGAAGCTGAGGTCTGGCAGAAAGTCTTCCCTTCCTTTTTCATTCATCCAGATTACATTTTTACTTCAGATGATGTTTTTGGGGGATGGGGATTGATATGCAGACCGTGCTCGTAAAGATGACAGGCTGAGCAGTGTCCTTGTCCATGGACTAATGAAAACCCCGGGTCCTCGGTGCAGGAGAAAAGTGAGGCAGGAAGAGCACCGGGTGGAGATCTGCTTACTTCCATGCAGTACTTCAGATCACAAGAGAGGCAGATGAGAGAACCCACAACGACTGCAGGCAGCAGGAACAGGCTAAATACAGAAACCAGGAGGCAGAAAAGATGCCCAGTCTTTTTTGAACAGATGGGTG